TGTAAAGATGTATTGACACAAATCAAGGGTACCAACCCTCATTCACAATTATAATGTTGTTAGATATAGCCATATTATTCCAAAGTAATTTGGTACGAAAAATTAAGGCATTTAGGTGGGGTGATTGTCCGAGACTCCTTAATCGGCATCAATCATCAATATCAAAATTTCAAAAAAAATGTGTAAAACAACTCTTGTCAATTACAAACGCATAAATTCCATCAATCTATTGGTCATGCCAATGTGAAATACATCAACTCTCACTGTTAGAGAAAAATATATCATATTAAATGGAATTGACATTGCGAAAAATCATTTTTACATAAAATGGCGTTGCTAGAGTTTTACACTCATTGCAGCTTGTAAGCTACAAAAAGAAATTAGTAGGTTAAAATCTCACTTTTATATAATTGTACATATTCCACTTTATCCAAGATCTTTGAAGCCACAAACTATAACTTGTCTAATAATTTATCAATATAAAATTATGATCACACTATTTATGAAGAAAACTGCTAACACATTTCATGTCCTCTTCTATATTGCTACAAATTATTGTTGTTAATGTCATTACATAAGAAGTACTAAATTTGATGTCTCACCTTATATAATTAGATCAACATTTCAACGGAAAGTTTGGAGTGAAAATTTATAACAATTTATTTACTATATTACATAAAAATTATAATTGTCCTTGCATAAAATATAGACTTTTACATGTTTAGGAGTATTTAACTTTCTACCTTCATTAGCGGTTGTACTTTATTCTACACCTTAATAAAACTTTTATTTTTGCTGCAAAAAAAAAACATGTTTAGGAGTATTTTATTTCAACTAATTGTGCTCATTACATAATAAGGTTGCTTGCAATTCATAAGTCAATAACCCAATTCTAACCAATTCACTCAAATAAACACTCAAACCTATGTATTTTGGGGTGCCAAGTATGTGGATGGCACCCCTGACCGGGAGAATTTGTAGGAATATTGACGGAAGAAGGGAGGGACTCATGCAGCAGGCACTCAAGCAATAGTGCATAGTTGATATTTCCCTTTCTTTTTCTAAAATCCGTAGTTGTATTTTCATGTCTATAGCAATTTATTTGAAATTAAGGTTAGGTGTCCATATTTTAATACCTATCAAAAAATTATTATGTTTACATAAAAATGTTAGTTTTTTAAAATAATAATTATTGGTATAAAAAATGTCACATATTTTTCGAGTAATTTTTCGTAATTTAACTGAAAATCATGGTTTCCGCTAAATGAGCATTATTGTACTATTTATGAGCATTAGACTTGTCTGTTGAGTATTAGGAGTTTAATATTGACCATCGTGATGTTTGCTTCATAAATTCTAATTCACTTTCTTTATCTTATTTTTTAATAAAAATTTATTAACTTATATCTATTATCAACTTCTATGAATTTCAATGCGTGAATCTAATGCAATTTGGTACTTTTGAAATATGTATTGATACTTTTGAAACATGCATTGATATTAGAGTATCAAACCTTCTCTATTGAGTATTAGAATCATGCAATTGACTATCATGATCTATGTTCTCATGTTTATAATCAACTCTTATGTGAATTTAATGTAATATGGTACTTTGAAATATGCATTGATATAACATTTAGAAATGAGCATAACACTAGACGTAATAGTCATTTCTAATATGTTCAATATTCATTTGTGTATGTTCATCACTACATTAACTCATTTGAGTTTAATATAAAACTCATTTCTATAATATGCAGATGTAATAGATTAATCATAAAAAATTGCTCAATTCTTGTGTGTGTGTGTGTATCCCGGAAGGACAGAATAGTGTGGGATTTAATTGCTTCTTGGCTTGGCTCTCAAAAGCAATTACTTTGACAAATAAAATTGATGTCAAAGAGGCACCACTAGAGATCGAACTGGCTTCAAATAAGGACATTATTCCCTATGACTTAGAGATGGAACTCATGTCGTCCTCTAGTTGGTGGAATGGATATATTGGTAAGTCTGACCTCTCCATTTCAGAAGCCCTCTTTGAAGTTGATATTGAGAAATTGGATTGCATTGATAATTCTTTAGAGTGGCACTCTACTAACGACTTCCACAATTCTGGGCAAACTGGATTTGACTCTCTAAAGGAATTCATTCAAAATACAATGAGTAAGGGGGTGGACTCACTTTCTAAATTTTTACTTAGTGAGTTCGACAAAATTCTCGTATCAGCTTTAACTAATTGTGACTCTTTGAACAACAAACCTGTTGATGCGGAGAAAGCTACCGATTGTGCAAACACAGGAGTCGGGCTTCCTAGGGATGTTTCTATAGGTAATCAATACTCTGAGGATTTTGATAGTGAAGGTGTCTATGAAGAGAAATTATTTTTATACTCTGGGGATGATTTCTATGGTCATGCTTCTGAAAGTGGGAAGAGGGCACCTATTTCAATGATGGAAGATCTATGGGGTTCCAATACAAATCAAGATATTTGTAACAAAGTCCAATTTGTTACCAGAGAAAATTGTCTTCTTACAGAGAACCTGAATACTCAAATTAAGATTTATAGAAAAAATAAACAAAGATCGCGTCTTATGAGGACTAAATCCCAAACACGAGTGGAATTTGCAAGTATCGACTGAGTTGTTTCTTAGGGCATTTTTGGGAGGGGCATTTTGGAATTACTTGGGGTTGGGTTATTTTTTGTATTTTTGTTTTTCCCTTTCTTCACATTCCTTCTTAGATCACCTTTCTCTCTTGTATTTTCCCTTTCTTCGTCATTAATGAAGTTTTGCTTTTCATAAAAAATGTTGTTTGAATAGTTAATTTATCAGTACTTTAGTTTCTATAAAAAAAATACTCGTTTGAATATAGCGTAAAGCTCATTTTTGTACTCATTTGGAAGTAGTAAAAAATTATTTAAATCAAAACAAAGAATTGCTACATATTATGCGAAATAAATGATACATAGTCAATGGGTTTGTTTGATATTCGGCTTCTCGGATGAAAACGCCATTTTTAACTAATAAACGCTGATATTTGCAGCGTTTACGCAAACATGAACAAAAAATCAGTTTGGAGATTTTACGAAGAGTTGGTGGACATCCCTATTTAGAAGATAATTTTAAGGAAAATAATATATCACTATTACTGAAAGAAATAGATGGAGATGTTTCTGTGAAATTATCGTTCCCTTTTATGTTTTGTGAATTCAATTGACTCAATTTTGATAAGAAATTGATAATCATTGAAATAAAGAAAATAATGGAGGAGACATGTGCAATGTGCAAGTCCGCAACATGAATACTTAATTAGAGAGAAAAATAGGGACGCCAAAGGCATCCATCACAATTAGACTGAAACTAATTGTAAAGAATCAAAATTTTATTCAGTCGTACCATACACGTGGTACAACTGAGTGTACCATATAAGTTGCTTAGGTCGTCTAACTCTTTTGACAATTTGACGAATTGATTACTTATTTGCATCTTTTAGTTCTTTAGTTTTTAGTTCCTTTTAGTTTTTAAATTAGTTCTTTAGTTGATTTGAACTTAGTCCGCAAGGGCCTAGTGCGCAGGGTATATTATATAGAGTATTAAAATAAATTAAATAATGACTCGGTAACTGCATATATAAATATATGAGTATAAATTACCGATTTATAATTTATTCATTAATTAACTCAAATAACTCAATAACTCAATTAGGTGTGTTAAATTGTTAATTGATTATAATAATTATTTTTCTCAAAGTTGAAGTTGATAGCTAGATTATCTAATTTGACTATGCTCTAGATTGACAAAATTGTTAGCTAAATTTGATTGGGAGTGGTGTTCTTACGAATTTTGCTCTTCAAAAAATCAGAGAATAAGCTATGAGAATATCGATGTCTTTTTTATCAATTTTGGATTTTTTGCTTTTGAAGAACATTCTCATTACATCAATAGTATATATAATGCATTTTATATACAGTATAATTTACTTCTATACAATAAATATTCTATTTTTTATATTGTTATGTTTAATGAAAACATATTCAAACAAAATGTCTACATGACTGTCTAGGGTCTCATAAATGCTCTAGACGGCCCTGATAGGAGTAAAAGTAATTTGGAATTCCAAAATTAGAACACTTCATTTTTATTCCCTAAATATGTGTTATTATTGCAATGCTTGGAAAATGCTCCAAGTATGACACTAGTACTACCATATTAAAGATTAGTAATGTCAGAATATGACAATAAAATTTTCAGGATAGTAGTAAGTTATTTCTATCAAGTGCAAAACCATAGTGGTCTTATTTTAGAATCTCACATTTGTTAACTCATATTTCGAAAGTCTCTTCCTTTATTTACCTTTTTTCTCATTTCATTCTTTATGGATACCCTTCCCTCAGTAATTCTTTCTAACCTACCGCGGGAAGATATTGATCGATCTTAAAGCAATATGTAAATACACCTTCTAGCATAACAGTCTGAAGAGATATATTTCGAAGGATGAAAGTGATCTATAACCCATTTGTGACGTAGTTTTTGTAGCTTATAAATCAGTTTTTTAACAAATACTAAATTTTTCATTCAACGAGCACACCTATGCAATAATCAAATAAGTAGGACTAAGTTGTGACTGAATTGACTGACGTTGTTTAAGATGACTATTTAAATATTTTTCATTTTTTCCTTTATTTCATTAATAAGAAATGTATTTTAAATGTAATTTTTTTTATAATTCAATAGGTTTAACCAATTGATCCGTTTAAGCCACAATTTTATAAATGCCAGCAACATCACCACAAACAAGTTCCTAAGCACGATTGGTTCCCTTGGCGTGCGAATAACCCTGATTTACTTATGCAAGAACTATATCTTGAATGGAGTAATGAGATCAATAGTTTTTGTTGTTCAAAAAATACCATATACATACATCAAGCCTTTGCAGAAAAGAACAAATGTCATACACAAGAATTAAGAAATGATATACTGCAAACCAAAAATGGTTGTACTTTGTAACATAAATTGCATAACAAGTTTGGGAAACAAAGCCATCATTCATATAATATATACCTAAAGGGATAATACTCAATAGTGTATCACAACAAAAAATATGAGAATATGCTTTCTAGAAAAAAGATATCAAGCATGATATTTTTTTATGATGATAATGATTCCTAGCTCTAACTCTATGTTACATCTGGTTTACAAGGAGGATAGTTTGAATATATGTTCTATAACAGTGTAATGAATATAGTCATACTGCTGCTAACAAGTATCAAAATCCAACCTCGGCCTGTCCTTAAAATGTTTTCAGGCATAGGTGATCTGAACAATGTCAAGAGCATCTCCGAAAAAATCTTAAAAAGAGCAATACAGGCAAAAGAGAAGCTCACTGTAAGCACGGCAATCTCTTTCTTTTCAAAGCTCGCTTGATCATTAACAACCTTTTCTACATCTGATCTGTAGATGATAAGATAGGAAAAGGATAAGACAAGATGATTCATCTTAAATAAATATCTCATTACATGCAATAACTCGATGCTACTATTATGTAATCAATTTAGAATTAAATATATCAGAATTAAATTACTTTTGGATACATAAACTCATTATGTTGATATAAAAGTAAAGTTATTCCATCACCGCCAAGTATAAATATAGAAATTATCATACAAACCTTAATCTTAATGTACTTCTCCTATCAAGATTGACCTTTTGAAATAAAAACTGAAGTCTTGTGGTATTGAAGCAAAATAAGGTCAGGCGAGAAATCAGTTTGACTAAAACTCAAATATATCACATGATATTGCTAAGGTCTCGCATCAGATGTTTCCCAGATGTTTCCTAGATTTGTGTCTTGATTATGAAATAAATATCAACTCTTTGTTTTTCTTTAGGTATATTAATAATTTTCAAGATTGATTTGATCTGTTGTACTATATGTCTTTAGACAACTCTTCAATTAGGTATTCAAGCTGATCTTTTAGGATTGTAGCACAAGTCCTAAGGTTAGGGAAAGGTCATTTCATATCTCATTTGCTAAATCCGGAAAAGTAAGTGTCATTTTTGTTTTGTGGAGTTAGTATTATTCATTCATGTCCCCCATTTTGCTCAAGTTTACTAGAATTTTTCCTTAAGGATTAATGATTGAACTTTGAATGCTTGACGATATCTAGCTAAATGCCAATTATTTACTAGAACCCTTATCTATATTTTGTCTAACATAATTTGATAGACAATCAAGTTTTGATCCACAGCAGGTCTATTTCACAGTTCTCATATGTCATTACTAATCATCATTTCTTCTCTATGCGGGACAATATATCGTGATGGTTAAGACTTATAATGCAAAACTTAAAGAGTCACAGACAAAGTTTTGGAATGAAGCATTTTGTCAGCAAATCAAATGCTTCACTGGGCAACCTAGTCATCACAAGGAAAGTGCAATATAGAAAAACACATGTCCCAAATATGCGGGTTGGAAACTCGAGGAGTATAATATATATTAAGAAAACACTTTCACAAACATTTCAGAAAGAGCGACAAAAAACTAAGAGATTCAGACTAAAAGTTGGAGAGTTGTAAAAACATTTACCTTAACATGCCATTTTCCTTTAACAATAAATCCACTTGAGTTGAAATAGAGGTTTTCCATGTCTCGATTTCATTTACTCCTTTTTCCTGAGGATGAAAACAATCCATAAATGAGACTAAAACATAACGCATTTCTATCAATTAGATCGTAATTGTTTTTTTCCTATTAATGGGATCCACCGTTCTAAAGAATTACTAAATACTTTTGGTCTCTTGTAAGACTGCATGAATCATATTTTTGGTGGAAAACATAGATGGTCATATTTGTACACATAACACACGATTTCCTCTTATTTGTGGTAATTCTTTAAAAAAGAATTTTGCTTATCAAGAACTATGAGAGCACACACGCTTTCTTCATACAAACAATTACATAATATATATTATATACTACTCACTCTTTCCTAAAATATTTCCATTTTAGATGATTCCATACATATTAAGGTTCCCTTTATATTGACCATATGTACTTACTTAAGTTTAGTAATAAATGCATTTTTTCTTTTTACACATATTTTGTATTGCTTACAAGAAGAGTACATATGGTGGAAGATAAATAAAAATGATCTCTTTAATTCCTATAATGACAACTATTTGGTATTTATCATTAAATATCAGTAATAAAATACCCACTGGACTGAAGTGTTAGATTTTAATTTTTGGACAAAAGTGTTTCCAACACAATTACGAAGAGTCATTGGCCCGTTACCGGTGGGTACGTAACTACATCGATAGTTGTTCATTTTCAAATCCTATCCTATATACCTAAAGGGAGAATCCTTACTTCACACAATTTCCCGCTTCTCTCTCCTAAGCAATTAAATAATTGGTCTCTCACATAATAATCAGTTACTCCTTAATTTATTTCATCCTTGCTCATCCGTTATAGATGTTGCTCACCCAAAAATGGGTATTACCTTCAAATGTTGCAATAGATCACTAATGTTTATTATCCCGCCTGAACCGTGAATTATAATCATTGTACCCATGACCTTTCATTTCCTCACCTTCTTCATATCCTTAAGCATGCAGTTTCTACTCCTTCCATCATTGTCTTCAATTCCCTCCACTGCTTTTTTTGTTCATATTTGGAGATGTCAACACTCAAGTTTAGTTTCAATTCATATTTAATTTAGAGGTAAATGCTGGATCCGATGCTTTCCAGATTGTGGTTCAATTTGGCAAAGAACCATTTTACTTATATTCAGTTAATAATATTTGTTGAAATGATTCTCTTAACATCAAATTAATTTGATTGGTTAGTTTTGAGATATATATGTGATACGTCTTTCACACCCAAATGGTTGAGACCAAGAGACTAACTGTGAGATTTCTAGATGTGTAGAAGAAAGAAGATACTTTAAAAATGAAATAAAAAGGCCAAAATGAGGGATATAGTCATATGCGGAGTAGTCTCATTTGATTGTTTTAACATTCTACTGCTAGAGACAACCATTATATAGCTGCCCGTAATTGATAGGCACAGCTTACAACAAATGTATCACTGCCCTAAATAAACATGTTTAAACACTGTAATGGTAAAGTAGATCATATTTGTAGCTTTTTACCTTTTTTATAAGTAAGACTAATTTATTATTTTGGGCTAACTTTTCAAAATAAAATAATCACAGAAGATGGTAAATTTATCTTTACCTTTTTACCTGTAATTCTTCTCTTCATCAAAATCTTTACTTCATTTTGCATTATAAATAGAAGTGGAATTGCAAATTTCAGTGCAGTGCCGCCACAGTGGTGGAGGTTGCAGTGCGGCGGCTGTGGTGATTGTATATTTGTATGCGGTGATAGTGGGAGTGTTGGACCACAAAGAGGAGCAAAGATAGCTCCCAAATGCACGAAGAGAATGTTGATTTTTTTGTTCAAATTAAAACCAGTCATATTTTTATTTGAATACAAGCTGGTAGTATTATTTTTGTCATTATTTCATTCTTTTCAAATGTGCTGAAATTGCGTAATTTTTTGTAGTTTTCAGTTTTGTGATAATTTATAATGGTTGAGTTCTCCTTTGGAATATTTTGTTAACTAAATAAATTTGGTAGATTTGGCAGAGTAGAAGTTTGCCAGTGTTTTGAATTGATTAGACAAAATTTTATGAAAGTAAGATCACACATATACTGATATACATGGTCTCATAATCATTTTACAATCCAACCTCCAAAGTGTTCGAATCATTGCAGAACATCACTCTCGAAAACCTTGGCCTTAGCTACTATCTTCGGGCCTACAGCTGGTGTTGGATGTGGAACGATTCACTTCCAAATTTGAATAAATATATATCGCACAACTATGCCAGTTTAATTGTGCCACCTTACTTTCACAAATGTATAAATGCACCTTACAGTTTCTACCATAACAAGTCTGGTTAAATTAACATTTGCGATATTCTGTGACGAAGGAATCTAAATAACTTGAAAATAATAGTCGATGAAGAGGTCTTCAATAAGTTTTAGTATGTGAACTTTTTAAATATTTAATATATGTATTATACTATTATTTATTTATAGTTTTACTCATTCATGTAACACTATATTTTAGGTCTATATATTGATTGATAAAAGTGTTTATGTACTTAATTTTCTAATATGTATAAATTACATCCCGTGCAACGCACGGGTGGAATACTAGTTGGTAACTAAGTTAGCGACAGTTTACTCATATATTTAAGAATTATGCCCAATGATTGTAATAGTTAAGGATTTTTCCTAGTTTTTTTTAATCAAACCTTTGTGGCTAGAAAGAGAGTTATTTAACATAAGTAAGTAGTACATACCATGATCTCTTTCCAGTCCAATAGAGTTTTGATCTCCAGTTGGTTTTTCTCTAGTATCATTGAATGCTGAGACATCTCTCTATCAAGCTGAGGCACAAACTCCCCTTGTCTCTTGTTCAGTTTTTTTATGTACTCCTCCAACACAGATAAGTTCAGCTCAAGTAATCTCACCTTTTGCAACAATATCTTGAGAACAACATCGCCATGGATTCTGCTATTCAGTGATTGCCTAACCTTTCCAGGATCGGGAACAGTGTTCACAGTCAAGGTCTTCTTTAACACTTCCACTTTAGGCATTTTCCCTTCATCTGCATGTTCTACTCCCTTATTTGGAGACTCAATCACATGACGTACATCATCTTTACTTTTTTGTTTGGTGGACCCCGGTTCCATTGTTAAAGAAGGTAATGTGGTCGAATTGGGATCATGCAATTTATTTGTCGAAGGCTCTCCTGAAGCGACAATCAGATCTTCCAGCATCTGTTCTATTGCATCTACACCGTACACCTCCACAACGCTGATCGTGCAGTAAAATTCAGACCCATAATGGCTACGTAAATTCAATTTCAAGTACCTAACCCACTTCGGTTGAGGAAGCTTAAAGCATTGTAAATGCTTAACATTTTCAGCGACAAAAGTACCTAATGGTTCCCATGCCTCACTTGGGTATGTCAAACTGCCTAATAACTCAAACTCCTTGAAATTGGATGAGTAGTGCTCAAAGTTGGCGATTTTTATAACGTCGACCAAAGTTTCATGTGCAAGTTCAATGACAACAAATTTACCACTAACGGAACAAGGGTTTCTTAGATATTTATCATGGTCCTTCCCTAAGACATTGTTTGCCCCCTTTGCTTCCTTATTATGAGCCACGACTTTAGCACCCTTGGATGACGAGGCATAGTTGTATGGCGTTCCATCAGGCTCAAGCCTGTGTGTAATATTGTCACCTAGTGGGTTTGGTGTGTCCCACCCCATTGCTTGCTTTGTGATGTTTCTCAACTCATCAAGATCAGGATCGGTTAACTGACTTCTACCACTTGGAGGATTTTCCGGTATGTTCCCATCATGAGGTCCTCCTAGTTCGCACATTAATGCAGTGTAACCCAAGACACTTGATATAACATCATCTACTCCACTTGTCCCCTGAAGTGAAGATTCACTACTTGAATTGTCTGAGGTCGATTCTTTGATAATCATGGTTACATTGACATCTAAGTGCAATAATTCATTTTTACAACCCGACCCTCCATCTTTTGCTAAAGGGGAAAAGAAATTTGAAGAATTACTTTCTAACCCAATTGAATGACATGCACTCTCATTGTAGGATTGCATCTCGCCTGCACAATTTCCAATTTGAACACCTAAATGAACATTATACAAGCACCCATGACTGAGAGAAAATGATTATGTCCAGCTGTCCGCGCAAGATCCTCTATTCGGCCATTGCTGTTTGGGTGGTTCCCGATGGATTTTTATGAAATGTTTTGAGCATGTTCTTCATGAAGTTTAAATTATGTCCATAACTTTTCAAATTAAAATTCAATCGTTAAGTTAGTTAAATAAATTATTGAAAAACATTGCGCTTTTATATATATATATATAGTTTGATGCATTTTTTCAATAATATATTTTTGTGACTTTTAGATTGCATTTTAAGCTGAAATTTTATGGTTGTAATCTAAACTTCATGGAAGACTTGATAAAAATATCATTTAAGAATTCCATCAGGAACCACCCCAGACGTCGGCGGTCAGACAAAAGATCTTGTCCATCCGGCTAGATAGGATCATTGCTTCATGACTGAGTACATAGAAATTTATTAATACATACATGAAAAAAATCTATTTATTTGTAGAGTTCCATTCACACCGGTCACCTAAACTTACTGATTCATTGGCCTTATCAATCATGCAAACTTAAATTACACTAGTTAATGGGAGCCATCTGCAGAATTTTGAGTTTTGATAAAGCAGTTCCATAAATCTGAAAGATTTGTTTTAAAGACTAGACTACATGATAAATTATAAAAACAAACGACTCTTTTACAAACAAAAGGATTCTTTTTCAACAGAAGATGCCAACAACAAAGGGTTGTTCCCGACAAAAGCAGAACAATGAAGATATATGTGAAAATATCTTGTACAATCTTCAAATATCAAGAATAGAAAAATGGGTATTCGAGAAAGTGGCTCACCATGGTGGTTCCCACGAGTTAGACCAAAAGCAGAATAAAGCAGGAACACAAGACACCAAAATGAAAAAAATAATGGCAACGATAGCTCAAAGAAACCCTCCCTATTCTTCGTATCCTTGCGATTGTTTATGGTGTTCTTCATACACTCAACATCCTGAGACAGGTTCCTCATTTCTCACTATTTCATCACCAATACGCACACAATGACTGAGGTGTGGATTGTTTCTTTCGAAGGAGCAATCGTAGCATGAAAGTGGACAACTTTTGTTTGTCTTTTCTTTTGCCTCTTTTCTTGGAGAAATTATGTGGGTGTTGTTGACAGTGTGATTTGTTCCTGAAGAAGCGGTCACCGGAAACAACTAACCTCTTGTGTTGTATCAGTTTCATTTAATTATATCGGGATATGTTTTGGCCTAAATAAGGTTTTAAGTCCTTGCAAATATGACATACTTTGTTTTAGGTCCGTGCAATTTTTTTTCTGATCCATGTAATATGTAGTATTTCGTTTTGGATCATCTCTAACACCGAAATCAGTCTATTTAGAAAAAATTATTTTCAATTACATAAATCTATTAGAAACATTTAAATTTATCCAATATGAATTTATTGATGCTAATATGAGAGTTAAAACAATGTAAAACTAATTATTCACATTTTAAAACATATATTATAGTAAAATCCTTCTAAAAATTAAATATCAAATACTTTTAAATAACATCACATAGAATTAGAGGTTTCCTATTAGTCGGGATTAATTTGAGTTCAAGCTAAGGTTGTTATCATCGGCGAAGGACTAAAAATAAAACAAACATAAATTTCAGGGAAATACATAAAAATAATTTTAGAGAGATGCAATACAAACGTATTATATTTACAGGGACTAAAAGCACATTTAAATCAAATGTTTTTTGTGAACATTACATGGACTTTATTATCTCAAAAAATTTATTTCCGCTTATCTTTTTAAAAAGTATAGATGTTTTTAATTGAATTGAAAATTTTCTACCTAGTCTTATACTCTAATATGAACTGATATGGTATGTTTGTTTTACATGTATTTTCACAATTATTGAAGACTAGTCTGGTAGATATTTGTTCTATATGTATTTTACAAAATGTGGAAGTCTCATTTGATTTGTGCTAGTCTGATCTGATCTGTTGAAGTATTATACAACTAATCTGATTTGGAATTGAAATTAATTCAATTCGTGGTTCTTATTATTTTTATTTTATCTCCATAAATCTCAACCACATTGTTTCATGTGAATGAGTGATCGCTTTTTTTTTCCCTTTTTTTTCTTATCTTCTTATGTTCTTAGGTTATTTTTATATTTTTTATGTTCTTTTATCTTTTTAGTTTTCTTATGTTATGTTATTTTTACCTAATATTTATCTTCATCTTCTTTTATCTTTTTATTTTCTTTTTTGGAAAAGACTTCGAAGAACTGTGAAGTTTTCAGAGAATCAATTCGGTTTTATGCCTGGTCGCTCAACAACCGAGGCCATTCACCTTGTTCGGCAACTTATGGAGAAGTATAGAGACGCTCACAAGGATCTGCATTTGGTGTTCATTGACTTGGAAAAGGCTTATGATAGGGTACCTCGAGAAGTTCTTTGGCGGGCCTTAACTAGAAAAGGCATATCACGCAAGTATGGCAGCATCATTATGGATATGTATGAGGATTGTACTACAAGTGTCTGTACTAGTGTAGGGAGAACTGCAGAGGTTCCCTATCTATTACTATCGGAGTCCACAAAGGATCGGCTCTGAGCCCTTTCTTATTTGCCATAGTCATGGATGAACTTACGAAGTCAATTCAAGACGAAATACCGTGGTGTATGATGTTTGCCGACGATATTGTATTGATCGATGAGACGCAATCAGGTCTTAAAGCAAAGTTGGAAGTATGGCGAGAAACATTGGAGAACAAGGGGTTCAGACTAAGTCGAAGCAAGTCAGATGTTATAGCGGAGGTAGAAGCAGTGGTAATAGCGGAATTACTCTAGATGTTAAGGAGAGACTGATCAACGATATGTTCCGTTAATTGGGCTCCATAATTTAGAAGGACGATGAGTTAGATGTTGATGTATCCCATAGAATCAGAACTGGGTGGATGAAGTGAAAGAGTGCATCAGGATTTCTATGCGATAGAGGTATGCCGACTAGACTGAGGAGTAAGTTTTATAGGACAACAGTTAGGTCTGCATTACTGTATGGCGTAGAGTGTTGGGCGGTGAAACAATGTCACATTCAAAATATGAGTGTGGTGGAGATGCGCATGCTACGTTGGATGTGTGGGCATACTAGGAAGGACCACGTGAGAAATGAGACAATAATGGGACAATAACAGAGGGACGGAGGTAGTATTATTCAATTCCTTAAAAATATTGAGACAAAAATCATACTCCCTCCGTATTTATAAGTTCACTACAATAGCATTGCGCACATTATTTAAGAAAGAAATAGTACGGATAATGAATAATGTAGAAAAAGTAGGAGAGAGTGTGTAAAAATATGAAAGAGAAGATAAAAGTAGAAAAAGTAAGGGTAGTTGAGTACTTTTAAAAGAAAAACTTACCAAAAAGGGAAAGTGTAGCAAACTTTTGAATATATCCCAAAAAAGAAAGTGTAGCAAACTTTAAAATACGGAGGGAGTAGTTATTCTCATGCACATTTTATAGTTAAAACGTAAACCAAATGACGTCGTTTTAGCTGTAGGAGTATGATGTTCATCATGAGCCGCTCCCACACTATAACAATTGCTCTGTTTCCTACTCATTTTTTCTTTTTTCATCCCGCTTATAAAGTTTGTCTCATACCATGTATATATAGTAATATTTGTGTTGTTGTAATTCATTCTTACTTTATTCACGCTTCATCAATTTAATATCAACCACATAACTATGCTTTTGGGGTTAGATCATGAATATTACTAATTAAAAGGATTGGACAAATATAAGACCTCTTTTAGGAAGTGTTTACAACATCTTCTACTTTTAAAAGTTGATAGTGTTTGAAAAGAAAAATGATTTTAAAAAGTAAAAGTTGGCATATGTGATAAAAAAAAGTGCTTTTGGGTTTTAAGAAACATTTAAAAAGATCACTCTACTTTTAGGTTTTCACTTAATAAAACTAAATAAAAATAAGTAAAAGTTGGTATTTAAAACACTCCCTTAGTCACTTTAAATGAGTATGCATCATTTAAAGTTAAGAACTCTAAGATGAAAATACTCCGTATCAAATATGCCCATACTGTACGTCTAATCAATAGGTAGTAAACCTCACCCTTGAAAAATATAGGTAAAGATAAAAAAAATGTATGACTTTTACGTTATAATTACCCAATGATCATTTATAGTTACTTGAATCGATCAGTTACAATTATACATTCGACCAATTACAATTACTTGCACAATTAGTTACAATGATCTAATCTATCAATTATAGTTACTCGTCCGACCAATTATACAATTATCCGACTTAATCAATTACATTTACCCGACCTGACAAGTTACAATTATCCGACTCATCCAATTACACTGACCCGGTCCAATCAATTAGTGTTACTACCGCTATCCATCATCGTTGGCCACCACCTCTTGTGACCTGCCGCCGCACTTCGCCGCTGCCTCTGACCAAGACCTACAACCACCACTATCAATGACATCACGGCGATGACCTCCGCCACTGTCCCAACTCCCTAGCCCCCTCCTACTGCACCCCATCACCTTCCTTCCACTTTCCCCACCCCTGCCCAATCCTTGACTCCCACCACCATCTCTAGTCACCGTTGTTAGTCATAGACACCACCATCTCTTATCATAGCCTCCGCTATCACAGTTCATAGCCAACTCTGGTACTATTTGAAGCCGCAGTTGTTGCTAGTCGTTAGTCTTCAGGAAAGTGGGTGTAGATGAAAATGACTCTGGTCCTAGGTGTAAGAAGATGGTTGAAAGGTTGGTTGAATGAAGGATGAGTTTGCCGAAACCTTCCGAGGGAGAAGAATCAAAGTTTTTCCCGTCCTAATGGAAATATCAAACGTAAGATGTGGTCTTATTTTTGTCTAGTGAAAAGTTTGAAATCTTATTTTTGACATTATTTCTATAATTTTCTTAAAATCACATCATTCCCTCTTATTTCAATCTTTGGGGATGGATTCGTGTAGGTAGTATTAAATCACATTAAAAACAAGGAGAGTGAATATTGATAGTCAGAGTTGTTTCATAATCAAACCAGGATCATTATGATCGATGAAACTAAAAAGAAAAGCAATATAAACTATTAAGAGGAAAAAACAAAAAATTAATCTTAAAAGACTTAAAAACAAATTGCATTATCATTATGGACAACTAAAATATATTTAAACCTTTTAAAAATATATTATTTATGAGCTCCCTCCGTCGCGAAAAGAAATTTTAACTTTTCTTTTATAAATGCTCCAAAATGAATTTATCACTGTTACGAAAAGAAGAGGTTATATCTAAAATATTACTAAAAAAAGAGATATGGACAAAAAAGAAACATTTTATTCCCATATTCCAAAAATGAGATTAAAAGGGGTTAGGAGACTATTATACCCCATTAATGCTACAGTAACGTCATAGTGACACCATAGTGACCAAAATACGTCAGTGACCAAAATAAAAAATCTATTACTGACAAAAAACTTCGCCCAGTGACCAACGCTCACCCATCCGGTGACCAACATCCACCCGTCTAGTGATCAACATCCACCCGTCAAGTGACAGTTGCATGATCCGTCCAGTTACAGTTACCCGACTGTCCAGTTACAGTTACCCGACCGTCCAATTACAGTTACCTGAACGTCCAGTTACAGTTACCCAACCTGTCAGTTACAATTACCCGACCGTGACAACCGTGCTTCTCCAGTGACCACCGCCTCACCTCTGTTTCGATTACCACTGCCCGTCCATTAACCGCCGCCCCACCCGTTCTAGCTACCACTTGCCACTGCCCGTCCATTGACCCCGCCCCTGCCCGTCCGGTGATTGTCGCCGCTACTTGCACCTACCCCTACCCAGCCCCAACCCCTAACACTCCCCACCAGCCCCATGGCCAGACCCAGCCCCCTTCCAAACCCAGACCCAGTCCCAAACCAATCCCCAACTGCCCCAAAACCCCCCGTGATATGCCAAAGCCCCAATGTCCGGCCGTAGTAGAAGAAGTGACACATATGGCCGATTCTGGATTTCCATCCAATCACCTATAGAGAGTGAGAAGAAGGGCACAGATGGCTTGAGGCGGTGTAGATTGATCT